ATGCCACGGCACTCTACCCAGGGGGACAGCTTGAGGCTCTGTCTCAAAAAAATAAAAATAAAAATAAAAATAAAACATCTTCCAATATATTAAGTTGGCTAGGTGCCTGTAGCTCAGTAGTTAGAGTGCTAGCCCTCTGCACCAGGAGTGGAAGATTTGAACCCAGGCCTGGCCTGCTTAAGAAAAAACCAAGCTAATATAGTAAGTTAAAAAGAGCCCTTGTGAAACAATGGAGAAAAACAATTCCATTCATATAAAATAACACATATGTGTACCCAGAGGAAATTCGAGGAAGAGGTTCCCAGAGATAGAAGGAGTAGTTATTTCAGGGAGCTATGATGGCGATAAATTTTACTTTTTAAAAAATTCTTTTTGGTAGCATCTGACTATTTTACCTTGATAAAATACAGAATTAGAAAAATAAGCTATTAACAAAAATTGATTTTAAAATTTAGCATAACCTCTCCCAAAAAAAGTCCCCTTATTAAAGAAAAAAAAAATAGAACCAAAGTAAAGCAGGTAGGATCCCTAAAAATGTTTTAACTGATAGAAAAATATTTCCTCTAATGGGCTGTTATGGATTGAACTCTCCATCCCCAAAAGATATGCTGGAGTATCTGTGAACGTGATTTTATTTGAAAATAAACCAAGTTATAAGATGAGGCCCTCAGGCTGGGCCCTAATGCAGTATGACTGGTGTCCTTTCAATATGATAGATGTTCGAACACAGAGGAGAGTGGCCAGGCGACGGCAACTGTCTCCTGTTCAAAGACACAAGTGGCAGCTGTCATCAGACAAGGAATGGCAGGGATCCATGGCCACCCCCACATGTGAGGAAGAGGCAAGAAAGGACCCCACCCAGAGTCCCGGAGAGGCCTGGACATGCTGACCCCTTCATCTCTTCTCCTAGTGTCCGGAACCATGAGAGGAGACATTTCAGTGGTCTGCAGCCACCTAGTTTGCAGCACTTTGTTATAACAGCTGCAGGACACCTGTGTGGGCCGCAAGAATTTAAAATGTTTATTATATCTCAGAAATCTAACCAAATAAATAGGTATTTAATAGAACTGGGGGAAAGAAAATCAGCTAAAATAACATGAAAAGGGAGACTTCAAAAGCAAGGAAAAATACAGTGAGCCATTTTCACACTATAAAAAAAGACATAAGAGCAAAGCTGAGGAGACAGGTCAACAACCAAAGGAATTTTACAAGACAACCCATCTGAAATAGTAAGTGTAATGTGTGCAGCACCTACAGCTTAAAAGAAATTACCTCTTTTCCCGTTGCTTGGCTCTGGAGGCATTTTTATAAAACCATGGGAGTTCTCAGAGAGACTGCCAGCATATTCAGTAACAACTGTGTCCGGAGGTGCTCCAGGGCCAAGAGCAGGAGCCGCTTGTGGAGGATGTCCCAGGACCCTCGGCGGCTCTGCAGATGGCCCTCCTCCAGCTCCCCTCCTTTGGGTGGCTTTGGAGACGGAGCCCATGCAGGATGATGGCAGTGGTGGGCGGCTGACTGTGACTTCTACTTGGGCAGTTTCCCAGAAAGCCAGAGTGGCGAGATATGTGCAAATCACGAGATCATAATGAACAGGGATGACACGCTCAGGAAGTCACATTTTATTCCAAGGAAACGGTGGTGTCCCATGAGGGGCTTCTGGAGATTTAGTTTCACTGTTCTGACCCCATGAAGGAGCTGACACAGTTAAGAGTCACCAGAGAGGGAAGTAGACAGGACACGGCTGCAGGTGGCCACCTGAGGGACAGAAACACCATTTTCTTGTCGCACCACCTAGTGGCACAAATGTGCAAAAGCAAAAATAAATCGGTAAGTAAAAGTTATTAAAAGTTATTACGGAGACAGGGTCCACCCAGACATCAAAAATAAATAAAAACTTCCCAAAGTATTGGCTGGGTCTTTTCCTGCAAGTAAAACTACCTTCCTGATGTTATTAATTCATAGAGGGAAAAGTTTATGGTTAGTAATAATCAGTAACACTACTAGAAAGCATCATTTGGTTTCAATGTTTCAATTATCTCTACCATTCGGGGGCCAGGCCCAGGGGCTCACGCCTGTAACTCTGGCACTCTGGGAGGCTGAGGCAGGAGGATCGATTCAGCTCAGGAGTTGGAGACCGGCCTGAGCAAGAGCAAGACCCCGTCCTTACCAAAAATAGAAAAACTAGCAGGGCCTTGTGCTTATAGTCCCAGCTACTCAGGAGGCTGAGGCGAAAGGATCGCTGGAGCTCAAGAGTTTTAGGTTGCTGTGAGCTATGACACCATAGTACCCTACCCGAGGGTTGGGGTGGGGGTGGGGACGGGGGCAGAGTGAGACTCTGTCTCAAAAAAAAGCAGAAAAGAAAAGAAAAAGCAGCACTTCCTTCTGAACCTAGCGCACACAAACTCCAGCGGTATGGGAAAGTCTTCTGCCCTTCCCCTTTCTCTAACTTAACTTGCCGCCCCGCGGGGGAGGAGGCACCCGGGTAGGAAACTCCACCCGAGACCCTAATCTGAATAAAGCCGGGCTGCAGCCAGAACGAATTGGGGAGAAAACTGGTGCAGTAGGTGCAGGAGCAACAGGGTGGGAAGAGACCCCAGGACATTCACGCCCGCAGATGCCGCAACGCCCCCACCCCACCCCAGCAGTTAACCCAATGCCACCATCGGCGAGGTGCCCTCCTTGGCCAGGGTGACCAGATTTTAACATCGGTAAGACGGGACAACATGGCCGGCCGGCTGGGGCGGGGCGGGGCGGGGGGGGAGGGCAGGGCCTGACAACAATGCAAACTTTGATAAGCAGTTCTCGATAATCACCTCTCAGCAATTATTTGTTATTATTACAGTTTAACATTATGAAATTAACAAAAATAATATAAAACTCATATTCTGGTGAAATAGCCACATGGCAGCCGAAAACTGTATATTCTTTTCTTGTTCTCCAGCCCGTTCGTGCATTTTTTCCAAAAATCGGGACTTTTTAAAAATGCGGCGGGACGCAAGACAAATTGTTGAAAAGCGGGACGTCTGGTCACCCTATCCATGGCCCTACTTGCCTCCACCGGTTCCTCCTGCTGACCCTCCTGCCGGGCAGGAATCTCATAGGGAGGCCCCGCAGACTGACAGCGGCGCGACCTGCGGAGTGCCCGCCATGCGCCCCCGCCGTGTCCGGCGACACCCGCCCGGCTCACAGCAGGATCAGACCCAGCCAGCTACTTCCCAGCTCAGCTCTGCTCCCCGCGTCCCACGCGCGCCCCAGGCCCTTGGGCCCCTGGCGGGCGCAGGAAGGGGACCTGTGCCTAGTCGGCTCTTCCCCGAGGGGACAGAGCGCGCAGCACCGGAACCGCCTCCTCCTAGCCCCATCGCTCCGCCACCGGCAGTGAAAGTGGAGCCCAGAGAGCGGCGCGCGGGCGCAGAGGGGAGAGTTGGCTGAGCCCTGCCGGGGCGGGGGCGGACGCGGAGGGGCGAGTCAAAAAGCGCTGCAGGGCGCGGACACGGAGGCCCGAGTCGGAGGAGCGCTGCAGGGGGCGGGTGTAAAAGCCAAACTAGCTCCGTTTTGTTGTTTACCGCACAAGCTCCATTCTTGGCTGTTTAAAGCACAAGCCCCATTCCTTGCTGTTTATCGCATAAGTTCCATTCCTAGCCCCTTGGCCCCAACCTCTGCCAGTGAAACCTGCAGGGCCACTCCCTGCTGCGTCTCCCCTACTCCAGGTTGCACAGCCACTGAGCTGTAAACTGAGTCACCTTAGGCAAACAGCTGCTATAATAAACAATAAGTTTCTATTACCTTGAAATACAGGTAATCAGGCTGCACCAACTCTAGCCCCCGGTTAAGGGGCCCCCCCACCCCTCACCTGTACCAATCCAAATTCACCTTTACTAGTGAAATCATCAGCTACCAATGCAAATCCTCCTTTGCTTCCTCCTTTACTAATGAAATCACCAACCACCAATGAAAAGTGTACTCATACTGGACCCTACCCCTCTTGCTTTCTGTACCCCATTAAAAACTTCCTCCACCCCGGTTCCGGGCTCGCCCTAGGCTTGCATGCAGGAGAGTCCAGACCAGTCTGAATAAAATCTCACCCTGTGCCCTTTACATAGGAGCGTGTCTTGAGCTCGTCTGTTGGGGCTAA